GGTCACTTTCTCCATCTCACACAGCTGACGAGTTAGTGCCTCCACCAGCCTCTCACAGGCACTGCAACACCATTACAAAAATGTTTCATAATGAGAGACTTCAGTTCTCTTATTTGATCCTTGTTTCTCGATCTTCACTTGACCCAGAAGGGCGTCTCATGTTTCTCAAAGCCTGTTTTCTCAATTCCTCTCTCGCATCTTTTCCTTGTATATTACATGGGAGGGACTAATATACAAGGAAAAGATGCAAGTGAGGGAAACATGGATGCAATTAAGGGAAAGTGAATTTACCGGAGGTTTACTGAGGACTACTATTTATGGTGGTGGCTGGTGCTGAGTCCATGACATGCTTATTAACAGCGACAGGCTGAACTGATCAGTAATTTAAATTCAGGTTAATCAAAGATAAAGCATACTTTCTGATCGTGTCGCTGCAGCTGGTACTGACAACACAGTCCATGGGAAGAGTCGCAGACAGGAAGTGTGACTTCTGGACTGTTCTGCTCAAGATGGGAGCTGAGAGAGGGCCTGGCTTTGACACCTCCATCATCACGTGAAGATTTATGACATTCTAAATGACAAGCATAATGGCAAAACATAGAGATTATAAGGCAGCGTCAAATATCCTAAGTTATAGTCTATCTGCAGTGTGGAAAACTGCTAAATTATGGCAATAGATACAGTATCTAGTTGTAAACATGAGAAAAAGCAAAAAAGTCAGCAATGTGCAGCATTTATAATCTCCTACCAAGACATGTATTGCAAAAATTACTATTTCTATCTCAGCATTCCCACATCCATATTAAAGATGAGCTTACCACTGCTGAACTTTTTTTGCTTTTCTTTCTTCCAGATTTCTTGCCAGAGCTCTCCTGTTCATCTGTCCTGAGGTAAATGAAACTCTTAATTACTATTCAGCTAATCAAAAATGACAGGGTAATCCACATAAGCAACAAAAGACTTAATTGACTTACTGTATCCACTGATGTACATCTTCGCACAGCGTGTTTGGAGTAATTTCTTCAGGTGTTATGGTAACATCTTTGTTTGGCCAAATAACAACAGGACTGTCACAGATGGTGAGGACACAGGATTCAGATTTCACCTGGGAGCGAAGGGTCTCAAACGTTCTTGAGATCACCTCATGCATCAGCAATGCTCACAGACGGCAGACAGACAGACAACATTAGACCTTCAGCATTTCACAACAGGACAATATAGTGATGTTAATATAAGGTCAAAAATTAATCTCCATATAACTGTGCACTGTGTGGTGTTATGTCTGACAAAATCAGATATCAGTCACAAAGACTAAACAAATTGTTTTACTTTGACAGCTTAAGTACATTTTGCTGGTAATACTTATGTTTATTTTAGTAAACTTTTGTTTTCAGTATTTTTGCTGTGCAGGATTTTAAAACTTCCAGCACTGTTTATTTCCTCCCATGTAATAACTGAGTTGTTACAGCATCCAAGAAGACATTAGCAATGAAATTAACCCTCAAGTCGACATAAATAAAAACATGGCAGTACAAATAAACTGCTGATGGGAAAAATCTACGTTTAAATAAAGATCGGTGTGGTTAAAAAGCAAGACAAAGTCCATGAACATACAGTACCATCTGTGCTATTCAACTGAAACTTGAACTCCAGCGGTCCTTTGACACGAAGAATGGTGTCAGTGGAGGAGGGATGTGAGTTAACAAGAACCTGGAATAACGAGACAAGTTAGTAATAGGTCAGAGAACATGTTGACAATTTATTAACTTACGTTCACCCATAACATTTTATGGGCTAATTGACTACTACTGAGGATTTGAGCAGCCTCTGCCAGTTATCTGCTAGCCAAAAGCAAGTTAAAGGATAATATTAATCCAAACAGCTTCGTTTAGGTAACTATTCAATAAACTTACCATTGTGGAGTTCGGTCCAGTAATATAAACCACTTATCTACCAGCTGCTGTCTAAGCACTGGCGGCCGACATGTCTGTTGCAGGAAATATTTAACGTGTCTCTGTCCGCTACGTTCTATTGGACCACACTGACCCCGCCCACTGATGTTGCATTCAATGTAACTTGTAATTTTAGAAACTGCTTCAAATCAAAATTTTTATGTTTTTCACCTTTTGCAGTGAAGCATGCCTGATTGTGAACCCTTGTCAGCGGCGTAGAACAAAATTCCGGACATAATCAGCCTCAGCTTGTACAATATATAAAAAATATTCAAAAGTCTGTATCATCCTCTCTCAACACACTGTAATTAGGCTAAAGTCAAACTTTAAATGTGGCATATTTTAAAAAAACACTACATAGAACATTACAGTGTTTTCATTATGCCAGGGGCATGAGACAAGGGTGAAAAGTGATCTTACTCTGGCTGCTACACTGAGAAATGAATATTGTATTACTGACAATGGAGTAAGACTTCAGTGGAATCATGTGATACACACACAAACTGATTAACCTAAGTCTTGTGCATCACACAGTAGGCCTACATATTTCAACATAGAAGTAGCATAAACATGGAATCATAAAAGCACAATTAAACTGATATTATTAAAAATCTAACCCTATTATTAAACTGAAAACACAAGATTAGTCCTCGCTACACTGTCAGGCTGACTGACAGGTCTTAATAAAGGGTTGAATAATAACTTCTGTGAGTTATTATATATTTAGAGTCACATTGGTCTTCCCTCCTCTGTGTTATTGCAACTAAAATGTATCCCACTCATCTTAATTAAATTAAAATTACATAAAGTCAGTCTATGGATTTACAACACCACAGCAGAATGTTAAGTACATTTGGGGCAGAATAATTAAATAAAATGTACTATAGGTGCTATTGTGACAGTCAGTCATACTGCTCACTGCTAATGAGTGTAATGTAAGTTCTGATGTAGTAGTGCTGTTTGTACAGTGTTACGTTTGTTCAGCTTTAGTGAAGCATACAATATCTAATTATGCCAGCATCAGTGCCCATGTCACCATCCTATTCAACACTAGAAAACAGGTGTCATTCTTGTATTTTTATTTATTTATTTTATTGTTCAGCTATTTATTTGGGTTTTATATTTAGTTTCTTTTTTCATCAGGGATAAATTATAGGGAACTTGAAATAGCCACAATAAATAATGAGCAAAATAGTGAAACCTGGCTTTGGTTGTATTGCCTATTTGCTTCAGGCTATTACATGCAAACACAGGCCAGGCCGGATGGGTGGACACAGGATTATAGATATTTTAGGCTGCTGTATGTAGTTGTATGATTTCTATGACCGCTTATAACACATCATTACTGAACCTCTTAACACTCAGCAAGCATCATCAGAGGTTGCATCAGCTAATGGTTTGCATTTACTTTGTTTTTTATCAGCAAATTAAAGGACCTGAAAAAGAAAAAAATCACATTACAGGACATTTACAGCTTAATGTGTCAAAACTATTCTCAGCCCTTACAGCAAACTTAAATAAAGTAAAGCTGAAAATTAGGTCAGCTTTAGGTCAGTGATGTTTTGTTCTAACATTGCGTCTGGATAAAATTATCAAAGATTTGTTAGGATTACTGGAAATGGAGCTGAGATGGTCTGTGTCATATAAGCATTCAAAATCAACCCTCTGAACAAAAGACAGTCAGAAAAAAGTTAAATAAACACACTTACATGGTTGGCTAGTAGTGCTGCCACCTATGACCTTTCTGATGAAATGGCTGCACGTACCTTCAACTGAATAACATTTTGTTGAAATAACAGTTATTAATAACAGCTAGTTTATCTGACACACTCATTGGTTCGGGTGACCAAGTTTGACCCACAGTGCTCAAAAGATCCACTTTAAAAGCCACTAGAGTACATGAATGCAACATTACCCAAGAAGACTTTCTCTAAGCATCTATTAAATGGTTTTATGCGCCTGAATGTTTCAATCTGTGCCCCAAATATTTCTCCTTGATAAACTGAGTGCAGCTAAAGTATATACAGTACATTGTAACTGAGCTAATGACTGTTAAGTTCCTGTGGATCTAGTGTGCTGGGATAGATTTGTGACGAGATTAGTTATTTCTCTGTGTATCACAAACAAAGTATCAGGATCTTCAGAAGTGTGTGTGCAGGGACTAAATCTGTGGCAGGCAGTATGTAAACTCACATTAGACATACACATGCACTATATGAACGCTCCCAGTGTTTATCTTTGGATTCAGTTGGTCATGTGACAAATGATTCATGGTGCATTGTCCAAGATTTTTACAAAATATTTGCATTAAGGCTATTATAAAATTCTGAAAAATCCATCAGCCTAAACTAATTTAGCATTTTAATTCAAACAAGATTTAGCATAATTCACTATAAATGTGTCACAGATAAAATAACATATACAAATACTTTAAAATAGAGAAAACAATAGTTGAATAGCACTGGTGGTCCTAAACCTGAAAAGGGAGCTCTCTGTTTAATCTCTTACCTATAAATGTATTCTTTTTATATGATAGTTACATCCTGGGCCTTTGCTGAAAGACAGCCAATATACTCTAGGCAGCATGCTGGTTCAGAGGTACCCTGTGAGAAATGAGAAAACTCATGTGAGAAAGCTGATCATTATTTAAACAATGAAACCAGTTTATTATGTTAGACAGTGAAATTGTCTTTCCAGACCAAACAAGGCTAACAAGCAGTGCTGTAACCTCATAGTGGTTGATAAAATCTATTTTTGACATGAATTGTATAAATTATCACTAATCACCACTGAACCATTTCCTGAACAGTCTTATATAGTAAAGCAAATCTGATTCATTTCAGTTTGTACTTAAACTCATACTGTTTGCAACCAAATGTTATCATAGTGCAGTGTTTACTTTTTGTTGCACATGGAGAAAACTCAGTGATACATTTTAGTGTGGCAAACACAAAAGCCATGCTGCACAGACTTATGAGACACAGCTGTAAGTAATATTACCATATTGTTAATAAAATACTAGTAAATATGCACATATGTTTTGATGCCATGCAAAGGAGACCATATGGCAACTGACAGGAAATGACTTGGGACAAGATGGCAGGAGGTTTGCAAAACAAGCGCTAAAATGAATAGTTAATTGATTAGTATATTGACAGAACATTTATGGGTAATAATCAATAATAATCAGTTATTCAATTAAAAGATTACTTCATCTATTTAGCATCTCATTTTCATAACACTGTAGGAGCAATGATTTTGTTTGTTTATTGCTCATCATGAGGTAATGCTGGCAATAGCAGGTAATGGCTCGCATGAGGTGATGTCATCAGACTAGCAGTGGTCCATAACAGCTGGGAATTTAAGGCAATGAGGCAAAAAATGAAACCTGGCAAGCAAAAAGGTGACTACAGAAAGGCTGGAAAGTGGAGATGGAACAATAGACAATCTGGCAGAGTGCAAGTGGAAAGTGAAAGATAAAGAGGGAATGGGGAACAGGTGATCATGGGGGAATCAGGTGCCTGTGGTGGGACAAGCTGAGGTTAGTGCAGAGCAGGTGGGAATGGTTGGGTCTGAAAAGACAGTTGAACAAACAGAATAAAAGAAAACCCGAATGAACTGACAGTTCTTGAAAACACAGAACTCAAGATATTGTCTCTTTAATTTTTTCAAAACCTGCTGCTTATCTACAGTTCAGTTCAAATGCCATTAGTTTGGTTGAATGTTCACTTGTTTTTGCTAGTAGCCAAACATTTCCTGGTTCTTGCTCCTACAGTGTAAGGTTTTGCTGCTTTTCTTTGCCACATATAATAGCGAATTTAATATAGTTGGGTTTAGAACTACCATTTGGACAAAACACGCAATCTGAAGACATCACCTTGGGTTCCAAAATATTTCCTGACCTGTCAATAAAGTATTCAACAAATTGCCATTGAAACAATACTTAGATGCAGCTCCACAAAACAACAATGATATTACAATGATGATAAATAGTAAATATATGTTGTGGATTAGGAGTGTTTATATTTCATATTTATCAGGAGCCAGGAAAGATAACAAATAGCAAAGCAAGACTGACTGAATGAGCTGGACCTGCAGGGGACTACAGACATATTCGGGGCCTCTTATTTGTTCCTTACTTTTTCAAAACATTAGATGATCAGGCAACCTTGCCATTTATAATCTTGTCTATTCCAGACAACGTCAGTTTTTTGGTATTCCATGAGGGCAGTAGCTTACCGGAGGGAAGTTGCAGCCTAATTTAGGTATTTGTGTGCAAGTGTGTGTGTGTGTGTTGAAAAGAGAGAGAGGGAGAGAACCAGAGAGAGAGCAACAGACAGACAGAGAGAGAGATAAAGCATAAATATGATTAAAACAATACCTTCTGGTCAAATGGGCTAAAAATAGCTAACAATTCGAATTCTATTGGAATGTAGTGGAAAATCAATAACACCATAAAGGCGACAGACACAGCATTGTGCACCACAGGTACGTATGCGCTATATGGACATAATAGAAATATAATTATTGACCTATCGGGAGAGCAGTTTCATATGATGGGACCCAGTCCAAAGGCTGATCTAAATTTAAATAAAGTCCATTGCTTGCGAGGAGTCGCCTGGAAATAATTTCTCATTGCTGATAGGTTGTTTAGCTACACCAGGCACACTTGCCCGTGGGTTGGCCTACGTGCTCTTCTTTCCCCAGTTTCTCATTGGCTTTTGGTAATGATAGTTCCCTGCCATCATTTGCCAGTGCAGTTCTCAGTGAATATTGTATGTGGTGTCTGGCTTTGGTGCTGATCATTTGAATCAGCAGGTAGCGAGGAGGAAAGGTATTATGGATGCGCACACCAGATGATGGAATTTCTTCCAAATATCGCAGCTGCTCGACCAGGACTGTCTCCCTCCGAAATTAGATAAGAGGCGAGACAGGAGAATACATCGGGGAAGATGTTCTGCGCGAAGCTGAAAGAACTGAAGATATCCGGAGAGTGTCCATTCTCCAGCAGCGCCAAAAATAATGAGCTCGGAGACTTTGAAGAGTGCTCTACTGACGCGGCGGATGGATTGCCTATTTCTAAGGACGTGCATGGGAAAATAGGTGAGGAGCCACCTCGACAGAAGACAAGCAGAGCCAAAGTTAACCTGCATACACTTGGAGACAGCATCCGAAAATTGGCATGTCCCGAGGTGAGTAAAAAAATAATACATTTATTAGTATTCATTGCATGCAGCGACCATAGTTTACATAGATGATAAATAATAAACAAATGACATTTATTTGACTCTGCAGCTGTATAGGCTTATGTCGCATGTCGTGCGTATTTAATCACTCGAGACAGAGATATGGTAGCCTAACCCTGCTTTCTTTATGTTAACGCTGGTTATAAATGTTGTCAGAGGGTGGCCTTTAACTTGATCAGCACTTTGTCATACAGTTTCAAAGGCTGCATACTGCCCTCCAACGAATGATGCGACTATCAGATCACACTAGAGACTCTGAAAGGTAACGTATGTGTTTGTGTGTTTTTAAATATATCTTCCAACGAGACATCATTAACAACAACATTGCTCCTTCTATAGACGGCCACAATTACCACTACTGTTACTGTAAATTACAGCCCTGTACTATCACTTTGGCCCTCTGTCTGCAAGCAAGAAATGCTTTTCTGAAAAAACTCTTAATGGATGAAAAAATATTTGGGAGATGAACTGATAATGAAAATAGTAGGTGGTTGCAGCTGTAGTCGGACGTATTTCAGTGACTAAACAGTTAAAGTATGGTCTGTCGACCGCTACTTTATGAGTGATGGATATTTGCTGTCTTTCCAGTCCAATGATTTGCTGCACAGACTATCAGCATTGCAGCAATGAACCGGAGCATTTAATGGAAATGATGAACATTTTCTCTACCAAAACAGGTTAGGACAGATCTAAAGTTGAAATAATAAAATGTCATTTCTGTTTTAAAATTCTGCGAGTTTCACATCTTCACTTGCTTCCCCTCATGTATCTGACAGCAATCCCGATGGAAGGTCTGAAAGTTTCTCTTGGTGAGGAACTCTTCAACATGTGTTATGAGGAGGACGGACAGATTCTGAGGGTGGTGGGGGGTGCTCTTCACGACTTCCTCAACAGCTTCAATGTCTTATTGAAACAGAGCAACATGCTGCCAAACCCGGACAGAAAGGATTGTGTAAATGAACCATCAGTGCTGTGCTTAGACAAGGATCCGGGTCTGCTCACTGTCTATTTCTTCAACCCCCACCAAACCACTGAGCTCTTTTTTCCTGGAGTCATCAAAGCCGCTGCCCGCCTGCTGTATCACACCAGTGTGGATGTGTTGATGGATCCACCCTGTGCTAAAGACAGCATTTTGCAGTCCAGCCCACAGCCCAGTCTTCTGTACACAGTTGTTGTTAAGGATGCTAAAAATCTGAGCCCCAGTCCGCTGCGGGCTACTTCAGCTGGGACCCTTCCTACCTCTCTCTTCTCCACCATCTTCCCTTTCCATCTGATTTTAGACCAGGACTTGGTTCTGGTTCAAATAGGTCATGGGCTGAGGAAGAGGCTGACCAGGAAGGACGGACTGAGGCGGCCTGGTACCTTCCAAGAGCACTTCTCTATCGTGTCCCCCCAGATCAAATGCACCTTTCAGGGTATTCTGACCATGCTAAACACACAGTTTATCATTCGGATCAAGAATGAAGTCTCTGCTACAGATAACACAGGGAAGGTATGTTGAGATAGCTGTGAGGTATACTGTTAACTTGAAAGTGACCTTAATGACCAATGAAGGGGGGAAAGGTTTTCTAGTCATTGCCTTGATATTAAATTGAGTAAGATGTAGAGAAAAATGTTCAGGTTGTTAATTAGCAGTCAAGCTTTTTTAGTGGTGTACTTGGCCTGAGGTAGAGATCAACATTATACCCCCAGTGGAGATCAGAAGCAAATGTCAAACCACTTTATCCATCAAAGGCACAGCCATGCTTGTGCTAATTATGTAAGGGTACACAGCAATAGGTAGCAATGACGAGAAAAAAAAGCACCTATGAGTAAACATGTCACTATGACTAATGTCATTCAGTCAGAGATGCTTCCATTTACTCTAACACTAGTCCTCCAGTAGTAGTTGTACTTTTAATTGTAGCAGAGTCCAATTAAAATAGGTGAAAATCAGTAAAAGGTTGACCGAAAGCAAGGTTCTCAGTCTTTTCCATCAGAGGCTGATGATGTTATTACTCAGCTGACAAGTCAACAATGTGCAAACATGAGTGAGATGTCCAAAGAAGTGACACATTCAATATTAATTATTTACACAGCTAATACTGTGTATCCCTATACTACTACTCTAGATGTAATTTTCCCTATACCTAAAGTTCCATCATCTGGTAACAATGGATGTCTGTACCAAACATTAAGACAATCCGTCCATTAATTGTGAGATATTTCAGTCTGGACCAAAGCTGTGGACTAACCAGCAGATCAAATAACTGACAGTGACATCCTTAGAGCTGTGCTGCCCGTACCCCCCCCTCTCCCACACACACATTTTTATGTCTGGTTGTGGGAAATGAACTTTTCTCATGAGCTGATTTTTTTCTTTCAGCTCATGGACCTTAAAGGTCAGATGATCTATGTTTCTGAGTCCAACGCCATCTTATTCCTGGGCTCACCATGTGTGGACAAGCTGGAGGAGCTAACAGGCCGTGGCCTCTACCTGTCTGATATCCCTATTCATAATGCACTGCGTGATGTAGTGCTGGTTGGTGAACAGGCCAAAGCCCAGGATGGTTTGAAAAAGCGTCTGGGGAAGGCCAAGGCAGCTTTGGAGCATGCCCACCAGGCTCTGGAGGAGGAAAAGAAGAAGACAGTGGACCTCCTCTTCTCCATCTTCCCTGGCACTGTGGCACAGCAGCTGTGGCAGGGCCAGACGGTGCAGGCCAAGAAGTTTGACAGCATTACAATGCTCTTCTCTGATATTGTGGGCTTCACGGCTGTTTGCTCCCTCTGCACCCCGATGCAAGTGATCACCATGCTCAATGAGTTGTACACCAGGTTTGACCACCAGTGTGGAGAGCTTGATGTTTATAAGGTAGGTTAATTGACCAATCTGTGTGAATGACATAGTAAATGGTAAATGGTCTGATAAATGTAGAGCATTTTTCTGTGCTTTCCAGGCCACTCAGTGTGTTTTCACACTATTTGCCCATTCACGCTCTCAAGCATTCACATATTCACACCCCAGTGATATCACCAGGAGCAACTGGGGGTTCAGTGGCTTGCTCAAGAACACTTCGACACTTGAGTTGGGAATCGAACCGGAAACCGGTTAGGAGACAACCCGCTCAAACCCCTGAGCCCCAGGCACCCCCATGGAACAACACTGAATTAGAAAAACAGTTTAAAAGAAAGTGAGAGTATTTATTTGCATTTAAATTGAATTGTTGTTCTTTTACATATAATTTTCTACTTGAATGTGTGTAGTTTAGACAAATGCGTATATTGATGATCAGATTTACTCAAGAACAAAGCTGTGGCCTGATTATTTAATCACAACAGTTGAGATCTTATTTATCAATTTAAGGGCTCAGTTATGTGTTCTATTAGTTTTATCCTCCAAAATGTTTCATAATCATTACTATGAGGAGAAATTTTATGTTAACTTATTTAGGTCTTTGTTTTGCCTAAAAAAGTAAAATTTTTCAATCTAGACAACATTGGATAAGATAAACATTTATTAAAAACTGTTCAAAGGGGTGCCCTTTTCTTTCCTTTGACACCAAGTATATAATTAAGGATATCAGCTGCTAGCATAAGGTCAAATAATGTTCATCCAGTGCCTTTACAGATTTGAAAATTTTAAGAAAACCTTGAACACATTTGCTTTACAAGTTTGAAATGACTGACAGACTGCGACTGTAACTCAACAGACTACTGTAGTGCCTGCCAGAGGCTGTTAATCTACAGGGAGGTTGGATAATGTAATCAAAGTGTCATGGAAGCAAAACAGAAAGAGCAGCATGTTTGACAAATATCTCATAAAACACTAGGAAGTCAGAGGTTCCTTCAAGACCCAGTTTCCACTCCGCATGTATGAGCCTAAAAATAGTTTCACTTCATCTCTGCCATGTCACCGCTGAGTGCTCTCCAGTCCAGATTTACATGTAGAAAGAAGAAGAAGAACACTTTTAATCTGGTCAGGGATCAAGTACTATTACAATTTAAGTTTTATTACTCTCTGTTTCTTGCCCTCTTGTCTTGTACTGCAAGATGAAGAGCAAGTCAGATTCACATTTTTCATCTGGTCAAGGTTCATTGTCTTCATGGCACACTACAGTTTAAATGTATGATTCTGCCTTAGCTTCTACATTAGAAATCATTTTATTGATCAGCTGCTGTGTTTACTATAGGTGGAAACCATTGGTGATGCATATTGTGTAGCTGGTGGTTTACACAAGGAGAGTGAGACTCATGCTGTCCAAATCGCGCTCATGGCTTTAAAAATGATGGAACTCTCAGACGACGTTATGACACCAACTGGAGAACCAATACAGGTGAGGGTCAAGCACTGATTACTGAGATACTCCTTATTCACCATGATTTTGTACAAGTTTTCATTTGAAGTTTCAATTTAAAAAGGCAATGATGATGATTGCTGTTGTAGAAATAAAGCTTGCTATGTTCATTATTAACTGTCTATGGAAGAGGATTAGGGCCACTGTAAACATTTTATTTAAGTTCTGACTTTTTAAAAGTCACTGAGATACTCCTTATTCACCATGAGTCAGAATTCTGAGAAAACAAATTCAGAACTTAAAATGTTTTACTGTGGCCCCAATCCCCTTCCAGATCTCTCCCATAGCATCACTAATAGTCGAAAACTCAATAGGATCCCTTTAAATGTGTAAATTATGTATATTGAGAGACTATTTTCAGGTGAGGAATTTGTGCACTAGTATTTACAGCAGCAGGACAATGTTGATATGGAATAGTTTGAAAAATCTGTTTATTGTTGATGTGCAACTTTTCAAGGGATTTGTTGACAGTAAAAAAAAAAAAAAGGTGAGTTATCCTTTAAATGTATCAGTTTTATTAAACAACATTAATTTGCAGGTGTCTGAGCAAATGTGACACCACAACCCACAATATGCTCATATTTAGTGTAAGTCTTTAATACGCTCCAAAAATAAAACTCAGCAGAAGACTGTTTTTTTCCAGATGCGTATTGGCCTCCACTCTGGCTCAGTACTGGCGGGTGTAGTTGGAGTGAAGATGCCACGCTACTGCCTATTTGGAAATAATGTCACATTGGCTAATAAGTTCGAATCCTGCAGCCAACCACGAAAAATCAACATCAGCCCCACAACCTACAGGTAAATTTATTTAAGCAATTATTGCCGTTTTGCCATTATTATAGAGTAAGAATTACTTTCTATCTGACGGAAAGGTTAAAAAAAAATGAGAAAATGTCAAGCACTTTAAATAACGAGCTGATAGATTTAAATCGGCCAATACTATATGGTATCGTTTGTTTCTAGAAGTGGTTGTTGCTGAGAGATTATACAAGCGCTCTACACAGGAAACTAGGATTTAGGGGAGTACTGTGTTTGTTCTCTGTCAAATGACTCATGCTTTATTTTGGTGCCCTTTGTCCCAGATTGCTGAGGGATTGCCCAGAGTTTGTCTTCGTTCCCAGGAGCAGGCAGGAGCTTCCGGCCAACTTCCCAAAAGACATCCCTGGTGTTTGTTACTTTTTGGAGGCATCTTCAAAACTTCAAATCTGACTCTGAAACAAAGCCAAGCTGCTGCAGAGCTTGAAAAACATTACATATGAAGTAACATAAGCAAATTTAGTGAACACAGTGCAAACACCTTGTATATTTTGGTCTAGGTTGTTTAGATATTGATGACATTGTCTATTAGTCAAACTATTGCAGCTGCTTAATTATAGAGATGTCAGTTTGCTGTCAAACATGAGTCTAGTCTCTGTACAATTATCCATTTGTGCAGTTGTAGTGGAAAGAAACACTCATTTCCCTAATTTTTCTTCCAGAATGAGTCATCTCTGCAAATTGATATGATATAAAAAGTTGCTTTATGTTCCACTGCAGTCAGTGAAAGATGAAAAGTGGTCAAAAGTGCATAAACTGTAGCTGTTTTTGCTTTGCAGGTTTGCAGTGAATTCAGATCTTGCATAGTGTAAATACAGTATGATACCGAAATACATTCTGGATGTAGATCCTCGATGTGATGTTGTAAAACAGAGTGGTTTCTATTATCAGGATTATTTTTGTAAATATTTTTCTGGTTCATTCACATCTGTCCAGACTAAGTATCTGCTAAAATACCTTTGCCTGTTGGGAAGAAGAAATCAAGATTAAGATTAAATTTGCTTTGGATGTTTTATTAGAGAGATTTTCATGACAAATAATATTTAAACCTGAAGCAAATATGACCTTTATTCCAAGATTTAGGACCAAATAAAGCAATGCAGAGCAGATTCAGGTGCCTTATGGTAACTATACAGACAGGATCACAGCTGATAGAGATTCTTGAATAGTTTCAAGCATTTTTAGTTAATTTCACTGTGTATTTCCTTTAGATATGGTTCAACATGAATTTTCATGTTTGTAGTTTCTTCCAGAGGTATGTAGTTTCAGCTTAATATGTACTGTACATTTATAATGTGTAACTTAAATGTTCGTTTTAGACATAAAGCAATCCCATTTTCCTAATATATGCCATGTATTTTTACTTTTTTCCACTGTACACATTTACACTCTATTTATTACATGGGTTTCATAGCACTCCTTTCTCAGAGGGAATACAGCACAAGAATACAGTGAATGTTTTATTATCACTTATAATGATGTGCTTATTATTATTATTGTAATGCAATGAAAGCGCAATAAACAATTACTGACCTAAGTAGTTGACTCTACAGTGTTAAAAAACTAGTTTTCTGTAATATAAAAGACCTGCTATGCTGAATTAGGTTATTGAGGCAAACGGTTAAAGGACAGGATATGCATTGGTGCCAAAATATTTACTCTAATGATATAACTACACATGTATGTACAATGTTGAATTTTACATAGCAAAATATTGAAATTTTTAATGTACTGTGTACAACCATGTGGTAGTAGTTGCTGGTTACTTTGGCAGTTAAGATTTTACATAAACAACAAAAACAAATGATCAACTTACAAAATAAATATGATGCAGTGGCAGCAGCTGTATTTTGCTCCCTTTGACCTGCTACAACACTAATTACTATTTAAAGTGTTAATGCAATAATAATGCATATTGAACACTTTTGATACTTTAAGTAATACTTATGTACTTTTAAGATTTTCACTGCTTAGTACTTAGAAAAGTAGTTTCACACTGTGGTAGGCCTATTGCTTTTTTATTGTAGGCTACTTCGTCCAAACAAGATAGCCTATATTTTTGAAACATGACCAATTTGCCGCATAACCTTTTTGAAAATATCTGCCTTGACTGCATTTCAGAGGAGATCTTGTGGTTGTTTGTGTTATAGTAGCCTGAGCAGATAACATTATTTGTAAAGTTCATAGCATGTTGTTAAATACCAGAAACTGTGTATCAATCTGCGGAGATTTCCAGCTTCACCAGCATCAGTTGGACAACGCTAGCTTCATTCTCATTGGCCAGGGATGGCTTACGCAAGACCCTCTCTGACCTGCTATTGGACAGATTAGCTGTCAGTTACTAGATGAGAAAAGGGGGATGAGCAGAGGGATACTCAACATCTGTACCGAACGGTGACTATTCTGTCATATTCAACGCCTTTTGCTTAAAATAAGGAAAAAGAAGACCACCGGTCATCATGGTATGTAACAGAGGGATTTGAATTATGCTTTAAAATTGGTAAAATAGACCGTCTGTTGCGTGACGCGGTGTATGTGACATTTCCTGTTACTACGTAGCGGTTCTACGATATTTTCCATGATTATAATAGCTGTATATTAACAGGTGTACGCAAATTGCATGTTGAATAATTTCAAGCACACGATTTGCATGTGCTGTGTAAAAACACGCAAGTGTCGCTCTGATTCCTGTATATGTCAGGATAATTGCGTCTTTGCATGAACTAATATTCACATCGCTCATGTTTTCCATAAATTCACAGTATGGTTTTGTGAATCACGCCTTGGAGCTCCTCGTTTTAAGGAATTATGGCCCGGAAGTGTGGGAAGACATTAAGTAAGTTTCTGTATCATGTTTACTATTCGGCCCTGTAGGTTACACTGTGGCCACACACACCACAACAAGGATACCAGGCAGGCCCAGTGTGGGATACAGCCACTTTCAGCTCCCACACTGTCAGTTTGTTGCCTGCAGGGACATATATTTGCTTTTACTGTAACGATTAACTGTTATTCTTTGTAGTCTTACTGAAACTCAGTCTAAATTGATCAAATAAAATATAACAAATTCCGTCCCACAGCAACTTCATTTTTACTCAGTCACACACTGCAGGCAGAAATACTGTATAGGCTGGGGTGGAAAGTAACTAAATCTGCATTTACTCAAGTAGCCCCCTGAACAGTTTTTAGATAGCTGTACTTTACTTCTGTGTTTATTTTGTGCTACTTCATACTTTGACTTCACTACATTTTGTACATGTATTTTATAACCTTTCAGAAACAGATCAATACAAAAATAATCAGTAATTACAATCCAATAATATCATACATTTTTGTTAATTGTGCCATTCTGCATAATGAGTACTTTTATTTTAAATATGTTTTGCTGCTAATACTTAGATACTTTTACTCAAATAAGTACTTCTTCCACCACTGGGCTGGGGAGTTATTGTGTGTTGATTATATAGCTGCATCGCTGAATATCGTCTAGTATTCAGATCCCTTAGTTAAGGTATTACTACACAGTAAAAAGTCCATTATTCAGAATCCTAAATAACAATATGCAAGTATGATCAGTGAAATATACTTAAAATATCCAAATGAAAATTAGTCATTATGCAGAAAAATCAAATAGCGTTTGATTTATGTTACAGATGCATTAATACATAACAGACACAAATGTTATATCTGGTTGAGGCTCAACTAATTTCAGTGGCTTTATATACTTTTGGATAGTTTAATTTGAAACAGTATAAAAAGGCTTTTCTTGTATTTTAGCTTTGAATAAAATCTGCAAAGTATCCAGTGTCCCCTAGTGTCATTTGACCTCTGTCAGATTTGTGTAGTGGAGCGAAAAAGTAGAATATTTCCTTCTGAAATGTAGTGTAGTCCAGAAAATGGATTTTAATGGAAGTACTCATGTAAAGAACTTGAGGTACCTAGACTACTACTACCAATAGTATTAAGTTACATTCCACCATTGTCAGAGTGCATCTTAATTATATTATACAAGTCCCTTTTCTGTGAAAATCAGCTATTGTATGTCCTTATAGGGTCATTTTCAGTTTTATGGATAAACTAAAGGACAATATGTTCCTCCTTGGGCTGAGAATTTATTCAATTTCTTAAGCTAAAGCAACTATTGAAAAACCCATTATCAAAGTATTTGGTGTCAAAAAGCTAAAAATGTTTTGTTTTTCTTCTGTAGTTCATTAAAATTTTGGAGATTGTGGTTTTCACAGCAAAACATTGTCATGTATCACCACAATTTAGAAATAGTACCAAAGAAATTTCAGATCAGACTTAAACTTATTGGTTTTATTCATAACATTCTGCAGTCTTAACAAACCTAGACCTGACCCTGCCAAAAAAAAAAAAAAAAAAAAAACCCAGCAGCAGCTGTGTTGTGTAAATGTTTCCAAAGGGGTTTTTCCC